CAATTTCTCAAATGCTCACACTTACACATTTATTTGAAAAAAAGTCAATTGCTATTCATGTAGAAATATATTCTTCTAATTTTATACTCCTGCAGKTTCAAATGATTCACAAAGTGAGTTAGAAATGATCCAATCCTGAAAGGATACCTGCTTAGAATAGTTGAAACAATTTGTTCCTGTCTCCTCTGCCCAACTGTCACCCTTATTTTATCTTATAAAAATCTGTAACAATACCTCCACTGTTTGGTGTGACCAAAACTCATGTTGGGCTTTTTATAGAAAAATATTGAACAGGAAGATCAGTATTAAGAGTTGTAAACACAATGTTACTAAACTATGGTATAATTCCATATTTTCCTCTCTTCCAAACAATTCTTGTCTTTTATTTATTTATTTATTTATTTATTTATTTATTTATTTATTTATTTATTTATATTGGTTCCTTTTAGTTAACCATGACAGTAGAACCTATTTCAATATCAGTTTTTCTTAATTTAAATAATTTAAATGGCATTTGTGTACCCCCAAAGGATCTTTTTGTTCCTGGGCAAAAAGATGCTTCTTGGATCCATAAGTATCCCAGGACTTGGAAAACAGGAAGAAATTTTCTTCTAGGACAACTTATTACCCCATTCACAATACTTAAGGTCTTTATCCTGGAATAAAGAGAACTTCCACTATTACAGGTGATCCCCATGATGACAACCTGTTGGATTATGAGTTTGACAGCAGTGAACATTTCAAGGGTGTGGTTTACCAGGTGGGTTTCACCACAGGAGATGGGCAAGAAGAATATTGGGATCCTGGCCAGGAGTTGTCACTATCATCAAAAACTTTTCCTGCACTCAGGAGAACCACCTATTCTACCGCTCAGCTCAGTAAGCCCAATGGAGATAGTTGGATTYCCCTATGTAGATCTGGGTAACCACGTTGCATTAAATTACCTCTTTGCTGCAAAGAGTGGTGTCTGTGCCGTATCACGTATCTTATGCTGTACTTGTATAAATACTTCTAGACAGGTTGATTTGGAACCTTCCAAACCTTACAATTGGCTAAGTCYCTAAAAGGAATACCTTCAAAAGTCCCCTTAGCTGGTTAAACTTCTAATTCTCAGATATTTTCAGTTCAGTATCATTTGACATTGACTTCCTCTTGGGTTCTACCCTATAGTTTTAAATTATTCTCCTCATATTGGAGTCAAATATTTGTTTCCCCTCTGTCAAAATTGTTCAGCCTATTTTAACAGATAAATATAAGAGAATCCCACCAGAATCCTATTTAGTCAGCCTAAACATTCTGGGCTCTCTCCAGCTAGAAAATGGAACCAGATTGTTCAGTTGGTCACTGCCCATCCATCTGGATATAGAAGTGGGACAGGCTTSATCCAGAGAAGGTAACAAATGACTCTGGTACCATGGTAGGACATAAATGCTTTATTCAATCAAAATGCTGCCCAATGACAAGTTTCCATCAAAAGGGAGRAMTGTTTCCTTTAAGAAAGGCTGAATYTCCAAGGARGATCTCAGATGAATAATTGGGCTTGAATTCAGAAAGAAATCTTGCAGTCATTTGTTGACTGGGTGTCATACACATGGTCTGTGTTCTGGGGAGAACCACAACCCGAACATTATGGACCTACTGCTCTTGTTTCAATTGCCAAGACAAACATATTTTRGGAATTCTCATTTTGCTGCCTGAATTTTACCAATGAACTATGACCTACAGCTATATGTAAACATGAACCAATCAGGAATGGGCACAGTTGTAACCCTCATTTGCATAAAGTGGACCACAGTAAGAACTTGGGCTGGAAATTCCTCTATAAGTTAACCCCTCCCTCTCTTTGTTACTTTGCAGTRCATGTTCATTTTAACTCCCTGGTTTGCAAACTTGCTATTTTTTTTTTGTTTGTTTTTTAGATGAAGCCTCTTCTTTTCTCTTGAACCTATTTTAAATGAATTTTGATTGACAGGGATTACTAGACTTTTTGTGATTAGAATGTTGTTAGAAATACAAATTAGGACCATGCTGATGAGGTTTCAGATGGACATGAGGAACAAGGTGTTGGAAACTGGAGTATAATACAGTGGCAAGGAACTTKTTGGGATGATGTTCATATCCTAGACTCTGTGGAAAGCAGGACTTTAGATGAATGAATTAGGATGTCAAAAGAAATATTCAGGCAATAAATTATTTTGGCTGTTTATACTAAAGTGAGAGAAGACAAATGATTTAAAACCACAATTGATAATTAAATGAGAAACAAAATGGAAATATTTGGAAAATTCCCAGTAAGCCCATGTAAATAATAAAAAGCATGTTCAGGAGAGAATAYAAAGGTGTGGACAAGCCACTCTTTTCTAAAGAGATTAATATGGATAAAAGGAAACCAGGTTTGAGTCATTGAGACCATAGCAGAATGGCTCTGAATCATTTCAGAAGTTTTCTAGTCAAGCTAAGACCTGAAGGCAAGGTTTTCAGAGAAGTGCCCATGGGACCTCAGCTTTTRCTGCTTTGGGACTCTGCTCTGTGAGTTCCAGCAGAGTGCCCCTTATCTTCCCAATCCAGGGTTCAAATGAATTTGGATGTGGTTTCACCTACCACTCCAGAAAGTGCAAGTTTAATTTGCCTGCATTGGTGTCATGATAATTCTGTGGGTGCCCTGAGTGCAAGAACTGCAGAGCCATGATGGTCTTCAACTATATTTCAAAGGATTCACTGGACAGCTTGGGGACTCAGGAAAAGGCATGTTGCATGAACAGAACTAAAACAGAGATCCCCCACTACAGTATGAACCAAAGGAATCATAGAGCAGAGGCCACCACAGAGTCCTCATTAAGGTAATGTAGTATAGCCCTTGAGACCACAGAAACGTGGGAAATTCAATCCTGGAAAGGCTTAAGCACTAGACTTCATCATAAGAGCTGCTGGACACATTAAGCCYAGYAAAGCCAAGRGSGCATGGCTGCCCAAGGCCCTGRGGACCACTCCACCCAGGGTGTCATGTGGGAGATGGAGTCAAAGATTTTTYTCCAGAATTTAGAATTAATGCTGTTTTCCACATTGGGACCAGTTAACACCTTCATCTTGCCTACTTCTCCTTTTTGGAATGAGAATACCTATTCCAGGCCTGTCTCATGAYTATCTTTTGGAAAGAGGCTTCAGAGGCTTCAGAGCTAGAGGGAAATTTGCTCAGTATGAATCCTGGCATGAATCTGGCCCATATCTGAACTAATGAGACTCTGGACTTTKGACTTTTGAGTTGATAGTGCAATAAGTTAAGTGTTTGGGGGTGATGGGTATGATATAAATAAAGTTTATATGGGAGAAGGAGATGAATTTGGGGGACCAGGGATGAATGTTATGGTATGAATATCTCTCTTTAAAAGTTCAAGCACGATAACACTATGCACAAATGAAAAGTGTTGAGAGATGGAACGTTTAAGAAGTGATTAGGTCATGAGGGAATTGTCCTAAAGAATGGATTAATGAACTTTTTCATGGGAGTGGATTTATTATCATGAATTTGCATTTGTTATAAAAAGAAATCTCTCTCTCATGCTCTCAGGCACATTTGTTTTCCTCTTTGCTCCTTGGGATGATATAGAAAGCAGGCACACCTCAGCTAAAACCCCTTGACATTAGACTTCCTAGTCTCCAGATCTATAAGTAATACATTTCTGCCTTCATCAAATAGACATTCTTATCATAGAAGTACAAAGCAGACTAAGATAAWGWCATCTCTGGGGAAAGAATAGGGTARGCAGACATGGCTAATTAAGGATAATAGAGGGTACAATGTAAGTAACAATTTGGGGAAAAACTCCAGTAGATCAATGAGTTCCCTTTACTTACTGACTCTCATCCCATGAGACGATAACAACCTTCACACTCTCTGTACCCCTGGTCAAAATTATAATTTGAACCATATGAAACTTATGATTTTGAGTACTCTTGACTTTCAAAAATAGAATGTCATATACTTTATATTATACTGTTGAATTCCTTCCTGTAGGCTCAATTCAGAGACATGGAAGGTGTAGGGGAAACTGATGGTATAGAAAGATTCAAAACAGAGTCATAAACCAGTCATGGAGGCCCTCGCCTGTAATCCTAGYGACTTGGGAGGTTGAGGAAGGAGGATAGTCTCAGCCCATGTGTTCAGCCATCCTGTGCAACATAGTGAAAACTTGTCTAAGGAAAGAAGGAAGGGAAGAAGGAAGGAAAGAAGAAAAGAAAAAGTTAAAAGAATCTTAAAGAGTACTAACCTATTTTTTTTTCAGAAGATGCTCATTAACTACAGGTTTATTCCAAGGTCTAAGTGCTCTGCTTGAGTTTCAGGGTGCTTTCCATAGGAGAAAGAGAGAGCATTAAACCTAACTTTCCTTGGAGCATCTGCAGTACAGGGATTCAGTACTGAATGTTTATACTTCATAAACACTGAAGTTTGGGAAGAAAGAGAAGATAATGGAGGATACCTCTTGTTATATCCTCACACTTGAGACAGAGGTGGCAACCTCATGGATGCTGGTGAGGACATAAGACAGGATCCTCCAAAAGAAACCCTTCCAATTCCATTAGACTCCCATAAAAATTTTCAGAGAATTCTTTCTTCCTTTTTTCTGGCATAATTGAACACAATAAAGGGAAGTGCTATAGGAGAATTTTTAAAACATCATTATTTCTAAGTCTCCTCAAGTCTCTGAGGAAATATGATGTGATGCTAGAGAGGTTCCACTTCAAGGAGCTGGGAAGAAATGGTGCATATAGAGGTCCTCTGCACATGTCTCCTAGAGAGGACAGCATCTGGGCTTGTGTGTGTGTGTGTGTGTGTGTGTGTGTGTGTAAGTGTGTAATTTGAGACTCATGTGATAAAGATAAGCAGTTACAGAGAAAACTCACACATTTTTGAAGGATTTTGCCTGGACAAAGTGTGAAAGTTAACTCCCATCCTTCCCCCTTCCCCCAATATCAGCTCAGCACCCAAGGTGTGCACTTACGGCGGGTGTCCCTGGACAAACCCACAGAAGGGCTCAGCAGCAWCAGTATCACAGTCAGAGCTGCCATACAGGAGCATCTGGGAAGCCACAGACACACCATGCTGGAGAGCAGGAGAGGATGGATGACAGAGGATCAGGCAAGTGCCMCTCAGTGAGAACAATGGCCCTTATCACCTACATCCCAAATAATAACAACCAAGGTGTTCATTTGTGTGATGTTAGATTTGGTAATCTTAGTGTTGAAGAACCAATCAGCATCAGAGATGAAAATCATCATCAGTTGGTAGTCAGAGACTCAGTATGAGGGCCCTGTTCTGCAACTTATGATTTCCTTTATACAAATGACTGCTTTAATTTAGTCTTTTAAAKATTTGATCCAGTTGCATCTGAAACATTAATTAGACTATCTGTGAACTGTCTCTGTTGGCCTCTGGCACAATAACTCTGGCTTTATAAGAATTAATATCTTATATGAAAAATCCTTAATCATAGTTCCCATTGTGATTTCCTCATTTTATTGAGGATATATTTCTTTATCATTCCCCTTCTTCTACCTTATACTAAGAAAAGATGCAAGGAATTTGCTAATGAATACATTATAGAAAATTCAGAACATGATAAAAATATGACTTACATCATTTAATGTAATCATATAAATTGAAGCATAATTTTATCATTCAATAATTATGCATTATATTAATATAAATGTAATGTCTTAGAATGGACTAGAAAGGACAAATATACATATAAAATTCATCATTACTTTGCATTCTGCCACAGTTCTAATAAGCAGTCTTTCCTTATGTGCCCTAGCATTTCTAAAGGTAGAAGTCACCATGAAGCAATAAAAATCATGAAAATTAACTTAGTGATTTTTTTGTATTTTTACTTTGTCCTCAGAATTGTCCTGAGGGATTTTTATAGGTGCTATTTTAAATCAACTCTCATATCAGCACAGCAAGAAAGTAACCATTCCACTCCCAGAGATGGAGAGAATAAAGTGATGGTGAATAAGCAACTTGCAAGGATACATGTTGTCCTTTTTGTGCAACAAAGTTTGAATGACTTGTACATGACCCAGTTTCTAAAGAGAATAATGTCTCTCATAKGAAAATTACTTTATCACTTAAGTCATGAATATGCATATCAGTAAGGCTACTTTTCAATGAATTATAGCATTTTATTTTACATAATGTGAGTCAACCACTGTGCTGAAATTATAGCTGCCTCAAAAGATACTCTTCATCTCCATAGCTATTCTACTCTGGAGAGAATGAAATTTGGATTTATCYTTTGTAATAACATTTATGGCTCCACACAATTCCTAAATCCAGTTTATCACTCTTGATTATTATTTCAGCTTTCTTAGCTTAATGTAGAGGAAGTCTGATGAACTCAGAGCAAAACAGAAATAGTATCTCAACTTCATTGAAAAAATATATTTCTATTAATGTGGAAATTTTGAAATTTCTTAAAGAAATTGAAAAAATTTCACTATCATTCCTGAATTTCAGAAGAAACTCTTTGTTCCTAAATCTGAATGATAATTCATAACTACAGCTAGGCATGCAGTTGCAACCAGAACATTACATTTAATGTGACCAGCAGAAAAATTATAACTTAGAAACTAACTACAATGAGTGGTATTATAAGAAAATGAAGCTAAGCTTTTCCTGGGAATTACAGAATAAAATGGAGAGCAAAGAAAAGAAATTTCAGATACCCCATTTGCCATCTTTATTTGGGGTAACTCCTATCTTGGGACACGGGCCCAACACCCCGACCCTCCCCATCCCCAGGCCACCAACCCAGCCCAGTGCTTGCAGCTACTTGGCTGGCCCCCAGCTCTCAATGCTAAGTCCTAAAATGCTCTATACAAAACATCTCTCCACAGCAGTCATGCAGATCCCTGTGCTCAGCCCCCAGGACCTCTGGAGAGAGAGATTCCTGAATGGAAAGTAGAAAGGGCAGGGGTGAGAGAGATACAGTTTAGAGACTAAATTAGAGAACAGGAACTGTGGGGACCACAAGCAATGTAAGGAACTAAGATCAGGTGCCCACATCACATGAGTGGACCCCAAAGGAGATTCCTGGGGATCTTCCAATGGGAACTGGMAGGTGCTATACCCCACCTCCAGGAGTTCTACCACTAAGACCAYCCATCCCACCCTAATAACCTTCACCATCCTGAAGGTGGAAATACCAGCCCACTCCAGACAACCACATTCAACAATTGAATGAGAAAGGAAACAGRGAAGATATTGATCTCCAACAGACATAATTGTTCAATTTTCCTTTGAGATTTTTTCCCTTTTTTCCTCACCCTCACATCCCCAGTATTTGTGAAACCAAGCACTTTTCATGCATTGGGCTACTGAGGACTGGGATGTCTGAACAGTATAATATGGTTTTGTTGTATATTCTTTTATCCTTTATTTTTACACTTTTTTCTTTTTAATATTTTACTCATTCTCTATATTTTCCTCCCACTTATCTGTCTCCCCAGTCTCTTTCTCTCTTTTCTCCTGCTAACAGCCAACTTCTTTTGATTCCTCATTCATGCTTTCTATGATCTAATACCTCTATATTCTCACTTTCTACCTCATTAACATCTCAGCCTACACCTCCCATCTTCCTTTGTCCACCATTAGAAACTGTAGACTCTTGTGAAAACTTACTGCTTATATTGTAGATAATAACCAAACACACCCTTTCTGTTTACTGTGACAAACCTGTAAATGTCTAATAGACTACTTGGCTGAATATTGTTTCACTGAGTGCTGTTAATAGTGATCTCCCTCTTCAAGGCAAGGAATTGGAAACCTGCAGGAACACTATAAGTCTAAAGGATAAAAACTGTAACACCTTGGATCTGTACTGCTAGAGGGAAATACACACAAATAACATGAAAAAACAAGGGAAGAAAGTGCCCCCAAACAAACCAAGATACTACAATAATAGGATCGTTTGCCAGCACAGTAAAAGAAATATCAGAGAAGGAGTTCAGAATTAAAATGAACTGTGAGGTAAAGGATGATATAAGAGAGAAAACTCAGGCAATAAAAGATCACTTCAATAAGCAAAAGACTACTTCAATAAAGAGATAGAGATTCTAAAAAAATCAGAAATCCTTAAAATGAAGGAAACAATAAACCAAATTAAAAAGTCAAATAAAGTGTCACAAACAGACTGGATCACCTAGAAGACATAACCTCAGGCAATGAAGACAAAATATATAATCTCAAAAATAAAGTTGACCATAGAGTGAAGATGATAAGAAATCATGAACAGAACTTACAAGAATTATGGGATAACATTAAAAGACCAAATTTAAAAMTTATCAGGATAGAGGAAGGCACAGAAGTACACACCAAAGGAATGAGTAATCTGTTCAATAAAATAATATCAAAACATGTTTTTCAAACCTGAAGAATAAAATGGAAAATCAAATACAAGAAACTTACAGGATAAAAAATGTACAAAACTAAAATAGATCCAGACCAAGGCACATTATAATAAAAATRCCTAGCATACATAACAAGGATAAAATTTTAAAGGCCATAAGAGAAAAGTATCAGATTACATATAGGAGGAATCCAATTTGAACTCAGCAGATTTCTCAACCCAGTCCTCAAAGCCAAGACATCTTAGAAAAATATATACCAAGCTATGAAAGAAAATGGATGCCAAAAGAATCATATATCCAGAAAAACTAAGCTTCAGATTTGATGAGAAAATAAAAATCTTCCATGATAAACAAAAGTTAAAAGTATTTTACAGCTAGAAAGCCCACACTACAGAACATCCTCAGCAAAATATTCCAAGAAGAGGAAATGAAAACAGCAATGAAAATCAGCAAAGGGAGGAATGACATTAATGGAAAAGCCAATCAAAGGATAAATCAAGTCAAGTTAAAAACAAAAAAAATAAACCAAAATGACTGAGAATACAAATCATGTCTCAATAATAACCCTGAATGTTATTGGCCAAACACATAATCAAAAGACATAGAATGGCAGATTGGATCAAGAAAAAAAAATATGCAGACTTCAAGAGACTCATCTCTTAGGAAAAGACTTCCACGGACTAAAGGTGAAAAAAACATACTACTCACATGGACTGTATAAACAAGCAGGGGTTTTCATCCTCATATAAGATAAAGTGGACTTCAAGCCAAAATTTTTCWGAAGGGATAAGGAAGAACATTTCATGCTGCTTAAGGGAACTATACATCAACAAGACATAACAATTATAAATATATATGCCCTGAACAATGGAGCATCTATGTAATCAAATTCATCTCAATTTCAAAAATCAAATAGACTGCAACACAATAATACTTTAACACACCTCACTCACCGATGCACAGATCTTCCAAACAAAAACTAAACARAGAAAATATAGAACTCAACAATACAATCAATAATTTAGACTTCACAGACATATGTAGAGTATTTCATCCATCAATGAATGAATACACTTACTTCTTAGCAGCACATAGATCCTTCTCTAAAATAGACTATATACTATGCCACAAAAAGAAGTCTTAGCAAATACAAGAAAAAATACAAACACTACTCTGCATTCTTGCAGATCATAATGAAATGAAATTAGAAATCAATGATAAAATAAATGATAAAAGCTACTCCAACATCTTCAGACTAAATAATATGCTATTGAATGAACGATGAATAGCAGAAAAAATCAGAGAGGAGATTAAAAAATCTTAGAGAAAAATGAGAACACCAATACAACATGTTAAAATCTCTGAGACACTATGAAGTCAGTGCTAAGAAGAAAGTTCATTGCATTTAGCTCATTCATTAAAAGAATAAAAAGCCAACAAATAAATGACCTAACATTACATCTCAAAGCCCTAGAAAAAGAAAAACAAATAAACACTAAAAGTAGTAGATGACAAGAAATACTTAAATTCAGAGCTGAAATCAATGAAATTTTAACATAAAAAAATTCAAAAAATTGACGAAACAAAAAGACGATTCTTTGAAAAACATGAAAAAGGAAATATCACAGTGGTTAAAACTGAAATACAAAAGATAATTAGAAATTATTTTGAAAATTTATACTTCAATAAAATAG